TGGGAGTGATCATGTCAGAGGATCTCACCTTCAAGGACCATAACGTTGTATCAATCGCATCTGCTAGAAAAATGACAGGATGGATAATGAGAACCTTCAAAACTAGGGATGCCAAGCTCATGATGACACTCTTCGGGCCGCTTGTTCTATCTAGGCTGGAATATTGCTGCACACTAACAGCACCTTTCAAGGCAGGTGAAATTGCTGACCTAGAAAATGTACAGAGAACCTTCACGGCGCGCATAACTGAGATAAAACACCTCAATTACTGGGAGCGCTTGGAGTTCCTGAACCTGTGCTCCCTGGAACGCAGGCGGGAGAGATACATGATTATACACACCTGGAAAATCCTAGAGGGACTAGTACGAAACTTACACACTAAAATCACTCTCTACGAAAGCAAAAGATTCGGCAGACGATATAACATCCCCCCAATGAAAAGCAGGGGTGTCACTAGCATGTTAAGAGAAAACACAATAAGTGTCAGGGGCCCGAGACTGTTCAACTGCCTCCCAGCATACATAAGGAGGATTACCAATAGACCCCTTGCTATCTTCAAGCAGGCATTGGACAAGCACCTGAAGTCGGTACCTGACCAGCCGGGCTGTGGCTCGTATGTTGGATTGCGTGCAGCCAGCAGTAACAGTCTGGTTGATTCACCATGAGGTCTTGTCACAGACCGGGCCGTGGGATCGTTGACCCCCCGGAACTCTCTCCAGGTAAACTCCAAACACCAGTGTCGACAACGATTGTAACTAACTGCTACACCACTGAAGATTCACCATGCCTTTGTTATTGGGCTGCCTCACCATAGGGCTGTAAGTGGCACTCCACTTGACAAGAATGCTCACCTTGCCCCTCCCATAAGCTCCAGACTTGCATTGGCTGCATCACTTATACAAACTCCGACACTCCTTCAGGAGCCACTGCAGGTTCACCATATGGAGAAGACCTGGGTCAGGACCCTTTCTGGCAAACCTACATGAACATGAACTCTCTTGTCATTATCCATTGGCCACCTCTGCCAGATGTCAGGTGTTCAACACACCTCCAGAGAATCTCCCGAGTTGTTCTGAAACTCGGACTGTGCCCCGAGTGCCAGGAGTGGCTCATTTGGAGTCGATTCACCGTGCCCTTGCCATAGGGCTGCCCCAGCCATAGGGTTATAAATGGCACTCCACTTGACATGAAGATGGTTCACCCTACCCTTGTCATAGGGCTGCCTCTGCCATAGGGCTGTAAACAGTACACCACTTGTACCAACTCTAATACTCTGGGATTTACTGCCGGGTCACCACAAGGGGAGGACCCGGGCCAGGACCCATCCTGGCAAACCTTCATGAACATGAACACACTTGTGTTAGTGTGACTTGTAAATGGTCAAAGTCGGACTGAAACATCATCACAAGCTTCTCTCTCCTATGTGCGGGTTATTTATGTATTCCAGTCACAGTATTGTGCCTTTTTGTTCTTTCAGAGAATCTCACTGTCAAAGATCACAGCACTGTGTCTACCACATCTGCTAGGAAAATGATAGGATGGATAATGAGAACCTTCAAACTAAAAATACCAAGCCAATGATTCTTTTCAAATTGCTTGTTCTCTCTAGGCTGGAGCACTGTTATACACTAATGACCCCTTTCAAGGCAGTCAAAATTGTAGACTTGGAGAATATACAGAGAACTTTCACTGCATATATAAGTACAATAAAGCACCTCAAATACTGTGAATGGTTGAAGTCCCTTGACCTGTATTTCTTAGAATGCAGGCAAAAAGATACTTGGAAGATCCTAGAGGAACTAATCCCAAACCTGAACACGGAATTCACTCCCTACGAAAGCTTTTAAGACTCAATAGGCGATGCAACATCCCCCAATGAAAAGCAAGGGTGCCATGAGTACACTAAGAGACAACACAGTGTCAGGGGCCCAAGACTTCAATTGCTTCCCAGCATACATAAGGGGGATTACCAAAAGAACCTTGGCTGTCTTGAAGAGGGAGCTGGATAGGAACCTACAGTCAGTACCCGATCAGCTGGGCTGTGGTTCGTACATTGGTTTGTGTGTGGCCAGCAGTAACAGCCTGGTTGATCAGGCCTTGATCCACCACGAGGCCTGGTCATGGACTCAGCCGCTGGGAGCGTCGATCCTCGGAACATATTCCAGGTATACTAGATACAAGTTTAATCCCAAAAATCTTCATGCTCCCTACCCTTCCATACCACACTACCCTAAAGTTTTATACAAATCTAAACTAGAGCAGAATCACTTCCTAAACCAATTAATTTAAATCAGTGAATAAATATTTTGACTGAGTTATCCTAAATGAATTCCAATACCATGTGTATGTCCATAATGTTTGTATGCTCTCAATTATATAAATTTATACTATTGTTTGTAAATCATATTATAGAGCCCTATATAAAAGAAGAAATAACCTGTTTGATGGGGTTCTAACAGTAGGAAATCAAATATATTTGAGAACGGATAACTTCTGAAGTTCAGATCACAAATGTAATTTATTTATTATTAATTTGGACATGATACATATATGTACGAAGAAATACAGTGGTTAAGTGTAACATGCCAAAAGCCCCTTGTATGCAGAACATTATGGACAGGCTTAAAATTAACTTGAGATTAACTAAGCAATGATATATTCAGTGGTAAAAATTACAGTAAACAAATAACAATTAAGCACAAATTTCAAAGACAGGTCATATGGTCATTTACTGAGTTGCTGAGCATTCAGTAGAATGGAGTATTCTGTTAGGTAATGTAATTAAAAAAAAAAAAGTTTGATAGGGTCACAGGTTAAACATTTATGAGATACAATTATTCAGCATTTATTTAGTTGTGGGGTGAGCAAGTGATTTTTGAGAAGAGACTTGAATTTATAAACAGACAGTGTTTCTTTTATATTCACAGGTAATGAATTCCAGATTTTAGGGCCTTTTATGTGCATTGAGTTTTTGCATAGCATGCGATGGACTCGAGGAACATCAAAGAGTGATCTGTGCCTTGTGTTATGGTCATGTGTTCTGTTGAGGTTGATAAGGAGATGTTTGAGGGGTATTTCTTAAAAGTGAAAAATTATAGGTTTTGCCTAATTTTTATTGTATTAAATGAAAGACTCGAGTGGATTGATTAATCATTTTGCTAGTATCTGGAGTCTACCTGGAGAGAGTTCCGGGGGTCAACGCCCCCGCGGCCCAGTCTGTGACCAGGCCTCCTGGTGGATCAGAGCCTGATCAACCAGGCTGTTACTGCTGGCTGCACGCAAACCAACGTACGAGCCACAGCCCGGCTAGTCGGGTACTGACTTTAGGTGCTTGTCCAGTGCCAGCTTGAAGACTGCCAGGGGTCTATTGGTAATTCCCCTTATGTATGCTGGGAGGAAGTTGAACACTCTCGGGCCCCTGACACTTATTGTATAGGTTAGGTTTAAAAATGAAAGAGAAAAATATGAACTAGAATGCTGAATGTTACCTGCCTTGCATGGGCCAGGAGGTATATTTCAGCAATCCTCTCTTCTTGAGAATGCTACATAAAATTTTGTTCAGATTTTTCACCCTGAAGGGTTTGCCAACCAGGATAACCTAAGAAAGTCAGTGTGTCATCAAGGATTGTGTCTTATTTCCATTAGAGTTCTTAAATCTTGTCCCCCCAGGATGTGACCTACACCAGTTGACTAACACCGGACATCTCCCCATGGGTTCTTAGAAAGGGAGCAGAAATGCTGTGCATGCCACTAACCATAATCTTCAACACATCCATTGACACTGGGCAACTACCTGAGGTATGGAAGACTGCAAATCTAGTACCCATTTTTAAAAAAGGAGACAGAAAAGAGGTACTAAACTATATACCAGTGTCACTGATGTGTATAATATGCAAAATCATTTTGATTATCAGGAGGAGAGTGGTGGAACACCACTCTCCTCCTAGTTTTTTTTAGTTTAATATCTTTATTATGCACCCCATACCCATCCTGTGGGCGGTAGTCAAAAGATTACAAAGGTACATAATGGGTCCAGGGACTGGACCCCAAAGTAATGATAGCTGAACTAGTTACAAAGGTAATGAGCTCCAGGTAGATCTGGTCACAATCATGGCAAGTTACAAAGGTAATGAATCAGCCTCACTCCTATACATGCACATGGTTACAGTTATGAACAAATTACAAAGTAATGAGCCACTGATACATCCACACCTGGTCACAATTGTAATGAGTTATAAATACAAATATTAAGTGGGTCATACACCCACACGAGCGCACGCGCGCGCACGCACACACACACACACACACGAGGGCGCACGCACAGACACATGCACATGAGCGTAATAATATATGCATACATACAAGCACACGCACGCACACGCACGCACACACACACACACACACACACACACACACACACACACACACACACACACACACACGTGGTAATGCATTATTTACAGCTAGCAAAGTCAGGGTATTTCTCCAGAATGGTCTGTAATATACCACTGTGGATAAAATACTTTGCCATTTCTTGAACATTTCTGAGTGAGTTGTCTCTAAATTCATTAATTTTATCGCACTCCAGTACATAATGACGTAAGGTGTGACAATAGTCCATCTGGCAAAGTTTACATTTCGTTTGGTCTACATCTGGTGGTGGGGATTTAACCTGCCAACGATACTTGTAACCCAGCCGGAGCCGGGCGGTAGTGACATCCAAGAGTCTGCTTATCTTGTTGGATGCACCATAGACATGTGGCTCCTCCTGCATGATGGAATGATGATAGATGGACTGACTTGTGTCAATCTCCCTAAGTCAATAAAGTTCAATTGAAGTTATTTTCGTATTGTTCTCAAACTACTAACTGACAACCCAAGATTGTAATCTACTCCCTCTTTGAAAGCATACAGCTTAGCCAATTTATCAGTTCTATCATGCATCTGAAGACCAATGTGAGATGGAATCCACAGCATATGCACTGACGACTCCACTGTCCACAATCTTACCATACCTATGTCTGGCTTCTGACACAAGCATGCCACAATTTATACTTAATGAGTTGAGAGCATTTATGGATGACAGAGAATCAGTTACAATTAAAGTGTCAACCTTAGATACATGGACGCATTTGAGTGCAAGGAGTATGGCAAACAGTTCTGTTTGAAGGGTAGAGGCCCAGTTATTGATGCGTGCTCCAATTTCTTTATGAGAGCCATCACTCTGTATGACAACAGCAGCACTACCAGCTGCACCAGTGGACTGGTGAACAGAGCCATCAACGTAAATAATTTGTGAAAGGAGGAGGACATCAAAAAAATCTTTCAATGGGCTGCAGAAAACAATATGAAGTTCAACGATGAGAAATTTCAATTACAGTGGACCCCCGCATAACGATCACCTCCAAATGCGACCAATTATGTAAGTGTATTTATGTAAGTGCGTTTGTACGTGTATGTTTGGGGGTCTGAAATTGACTAATCTACTTCACAATATTCCTTATGGGAAAAAATTCGGTCAGTACTGGCACCTGAACATACTACTGGAATGAAAAAAGTTCGTTAACCGGGGGTCCACTGTACTCCGATATGGTAAACACGAGGAAATCAAAACTTCATCAGAGTACAAAATAAATTCCGGCCACAAAATAGAGTGAAAAACCAATGTCAAAGACCTGGGAGTGATCATGTCGGAGGATCTCACCTTCAAGGACCATAACATTATATCAATTGTAGCTGCTAGAAAAATGACAGGATGGATAATGAGAACCTTCAAAACTAGAGATGCCAAGCCCATGATGACACTCTTCAGGTCGCTTGATCTATCTAGGCTGGAATATTGCTGCACACTAACAGCACCTTTCAAGGCAGGTGAAATTGCTGACCTAGAAAATGTACAGAGAACCTTCACAGCGCACATAACGGAGATAAAACGCCTCAATTACTGGGAGCACTTAAAGTTCCTGAACCTGTATTCCCTGGAATGCAGGCGGGAGAGATACATGATTATATACACCTGGAAAATCCTAGAGGGACTAGTAAAGAACTTGCACACGAAAATCACTCACAACGAAAGCAAAAGACTTGGCAGACGATGCAACATCCCCCCAATGAAAAGCAGGGGTGTCACTAGCACGTAAAGAGACAATACAATAAGTGTCAGGGGCCCAAGACTGTTCAGCTACCTCCCAGCATACATAAGGGGGATTACCAATAGACCCCTGGCAGTCTTCAAGCTGGCACTGGACAAGCACCTAAAGTCGGTACCTGACCAGCCGGGCTGTGGCTCGTACGTTAGATTGCGTGCAGCCAGCAGTAACAGCCTAGTTAATCAGGCTCTGATCCACCAGGCAGCCTGGTCACAGACCGGGCCATGGAGGCTTTGACCCCCGGAACTCTCTCCAGGTAAACCCCAGGTAAACAGTCAGCACGGATTCATGGAAGACAAATCCTGTGTCACAAACCTTCTGGAGTTTTATGATAAAGTAACAGACGTAAGAAACGAGAGAGAGGGGTGGGTTGATTGCATTTTCTTGGACTGCGAGAAGGCCATCAACACAGTTCCTCACAAGAGATTAGTGCAGAAGCTAGAAGATCAAGTGCGTATAACGGGAAGGGCACTGCAATGGATCAGAGAATACCTGACAGGGAGGCAACGAGTCATGGTATGTGATGAGGTATCACAGTGGGCACCTGTGACGAGCAGAGTCCCACAGAGGTCGGTCCTAGGACCAGTGCTATTTTTGGTATATATGAATGGCATGATGGAAGGGTTAGACTTAGAAGTGTCCCTGTTCGCAGATGATGTGAAGTTAATGAAGAGAATTAAATCGGATGAGGATCAGGCAGGACTTCAAAGAGACCTGGACAAGCTGGACACCTGGTCCAGCAACTGGCTTTTCGAATTTAACCCCGTCAAATGCAAAGTTATGAAGATCGGGAAGGACAAAGAAGACCACAGACAGAGTATAGGCTAGGTGGCCAAAGACTGCAAACCTCACTCAAAGAGAAAGATCTTGGGGTGAGCATAACACCGAGCACATCTCCGGAAGCACACACCAACCAGATAACTGCTGCAGCATATGGGCGCTTGGCAAACCTGAGAATAGCATTCTGATACCTAAATAAGGAATCTTTCAAGACTCTGTACAATATGTACGTCAGGCCCATACTGGAGTATGCAGCACCAGTTTCTAACCTACGCCTGGTCAAGCACATCAAGAAATTAGAGAAAGTGCAAAGGTTTGCGACAAGGTTAGTTCCAGAGCTAAGGGGAATGTTCTACGAAGAAAGGTTAAGGGAAATCTGCCTGACGACACTGGAGGACAGGAGGGTTAGGGGAGACATGGTAACGACATACAAAATACTGCATGGAATAGATAAGGTGGACAGAGACAGGCTGTTCCAGAGAGGGGACACAGAAACAAGGGGTCACACTTGGAAGATGAAGACTCAGATGAGCCAATGGGATGTTAGGAAGTATTTCTTCAGTTATATGGTAGTCAGGAAGTGGAACAGTCTGGCGAGTGTAGTGGAGGCAGGAACCATACATAGCTTTAAGACGAGGTATGATAAAGCTCATGGAGCAGGGAGAGAGAGGACCTAGTAGCGTTCAGTGAAGAGGCAGGGCCAGGAGCTGAGTCTCGACCCCTGCAACCACAATTAGGTAAGTACCCAGGTACTTACCTACTTGCTTTCTAGGTGAACAGGGCCAACAGGTGTAAGGAAACGCACCCAATGTTTCGACCCTTGCCGGGGATTGAACTACAGACACTTGTTGTGCGAGGCGAGTATGTTGCGTACCAGGCCATGGGACATGCTGTGAACCTAAGCAGCCAGCCACTGGCTATCATTTTGAAGCAAATGCTGATTTTTTTCCTCCAGAATATGCTTGTCTTTCAGACTGCCCCCAGGTTCCCACTTTAATGCTGTTTGTTTTATCTCTGCTTCTTCTTGTACTTCGTAATGCTGAATGTCATCAGTGGGTTAATTACCACTCCCATGATAATTACTAGAAGTTTTTGGCTGTACCATCAGTTTATATACAGATTAATCTACTGGGTAATACAACACTTTAGTGAAATCTTAAGAAAAAATTTATTGTGGTTTTAAGATGTGGTTTTAAGAACACATTTTTACAAATGCCTGAAGTTCATTTTGAACAAAAACTAAAGTGCTTAGAATTAGTGAATACTGTATTACCATTATTATTATTACATTTATAAAGATTTACTCAAGCACATAAACATGAGTCGTGTATACTGAAACTAAATTCAATTTTTTGAAAATTTTAATATATTCAGACTTCTTTAGGAATCAACTTAAGCATTTGATAATGAATAAACAACATTAAAATTATTTTTTAAACAAGAGTTTCACAATGAATATGTATAAATACAATGAACTGAAATTATTTTACCATAAAGAAAAACACATAAAAAAAACTGTCAGACGAGACAAACACCTGCATTAAAATAAACTGTCAATTATCCAAGACAAAAATAAATTTCCAATTTCAAAGAACGGAAGCCTAATAATAATTGGGGCATAACTTGCTAGACCAACCTTCAATACAATGCTCAGTACAGTGTTCTCTGGTACAATAAATGAGATGAAATAACAACCTGCATAAATAAGAGCTATAACATATGAAAAGTAAAAGAAAAAAAAGGAGACACCCTTGCTAGTGAAGTTAAAAAATTTAAAGGAGTCCTCCATCTGACTCTGCATTTGGTCTCCATCAGCTAACAAGTCAACAGTCTGGTAATTGTATCCCATAGGTATTCCGAAGGTAACATTCAGATCACTGTAAGGAAAGCAGGTAGTAGTATTTGCAGATATATTATAACAAGGTTTTTCTATGATATATGGTAACTTACTTGGTACATCAACTGGTTTATAAAGTTTAACAGTCACTGTTTCAGCTGCTGAAGAAGCTGTTGTAGATGTTAAACTTTCAGGTTCTGCAGTTAGAAAAGACTGTGTACTGCTCTCACCTAACAGATCTTTCACCACAGTTTCTAATGTACTATCTGTAAGTAATACATTCCCTTGATAATTCTCTACGATCTGGTCAGGACTCTTACCCAGATCCAGAGAAACACTTTGACTGAATCGTTTGTGGTCACGAGCTCCACTCTTTGTTTCATTTATTTTCTCAGGTGATGAAAGAACTTTCCCATTGTTTAATTGTACTTGAGCCTGATATGCATTATCATATGAATTTGAATAATCTTTTTCACCTATAAACTCTATACTTGCTTCAGTTTCTTGGTTTGTCATATTTATTGTGTCCAGTAAATCTTCAGTATTGTTTTTATCATTCACAAGACTGCTAGATGCTGTTGTATCATTATCTTGGTCAGGCTTCATCACAGGTAATGTGCGTTCATTATCCTGGGTAGCGCAGCAGTAAATCATTTCTAAGGGGCAGCCTGTATCCTTTAAAAAAAATTAAAGTTCTTAAGTCGTTACAATATCCCCAATGTTATTAATAATAATAATTAATAAAAATATTAGTATTACTACAGTAGATCGTTATATTACACGGATTTACTTGCCACGTTTTGGTTATTGCACTATTGAAAAATTGCAACACAATTTTATACAACACTTTGTAAAATTAACTTAGCATGGCTCAGTTTGTGGGCGCGGAAAACATTTCCCCAGCTCCAGCTGCCGCCTTGTTGTGGGTCAGATTTGTGTCAGTGGGGCAAGACCTATCACCATCCCCTGCCACCCATGACACTCCCGCTACCCCCGTCCTAACCTTCGTGAATACATAGTCAGTTCCATTCTGTCTTAGCTGTGTTTGTAAATTTGGTTTTGATCTTTTAATTGCTATATCTTATATCTACCAAGCAATCATGGCACCCACTAGGCATACGAGCGTTGCTGAAAGTGGCAAGAAAAGGTATAAGCGTTTCAGTCTTAGCATTAACGAAGAAGATAGAGATATTAAATAAGAGAACCTAGGCCTTAATGAAGTATCAGTTTGTATAATTAAAAAGAATGAGGTAAATATATGAGTTTGTGTCATGAATAACTGACTGACTTATCTGACTGACTTGACTGACTTAAACTTTTTTTTACTGAAGAGGACCCCTGACAAATCTAGAAGCAGTGCTCTGAAATGGTGTCTAGAGCAGCTGATGCCTTACTGTCAGCTGTATAATGTACTGCAGGGTAAATTAAAACAGAAATCCATTACAGAATTTATACACACTCCAGTACAACCATCAACTTCAGTACCAGAACCTCTACCATCCACCTCAGCCCAGTAGGACCACAACATAACTCTCCACTCTCTTCACAATCATCAACAAACACCAGCACCCACAATTTAAAGTAAGAAATACTATTATTTCTGTTGCATTTGTAGTCTTAAGAAGTAAAAATATAATACATCACAATGAACTACAATTACATATTCACTCTTATTTTTGTAAGATCTGGAGGTCTAAAAATTTTTTTTTTTTTGTTTTTTTTTGGGGGCTCCCAGGAATGTAACACTATTTTTCCAATAAGTTCTTCAGTTTATCTAACACAGATTTACCTAACACAGCGTTTTCAAGAACGTAACAACCGTGTAATATAACGGTCTACTGTAACAGTAATATTGATAAAATGCACTCTTCCTATACAAGTCATGGTGCCAAATAACTGAGGGGAGCATCGCCAGAGGGGCACAGGTTAACAAATTTACGAGCTAGCAAGGAAAGTTAAATTTGGTGCAATAAATCAGTTTTAACCCTTTGACTGTCGAAGGGCCAAATCCTGAAGTTGCTTCTGGTGTCGCAAAATATTCGAAAAAAAAAAAAATTATTTTTTCTTATGAAATGATAGAGAATCTTTTCCCGATTGTAAAGACACCAAAAAAACGAAATTTAATGGAAAACTGACGGAATTACGCTCTCGCGAAGTTAGCGACTTCGGCGATATTTAAAAATCGGCAATTTCGCCCACTTTGAGCCCTATTTTCGGCTAATTCCGTTATTCCAGTCAACCAAACTCATAACTATTTCTTCAGAACTCTATTTTTTCTATCGATTGAGTACAAGAAACTGCCCATTTACCGATTTCAACTACCCAATAACATGGTCAGAAATTTGCAATTTGGCCAATTTCACGAAAATTAAAAAATATGACAATTTCAAAATAAGGTCCAGAATAAACAATGCAGACATTCCTGGCTCTAAAATAACATTTTCTTTGTTCATCAGTCATGTCTCCAGGTCCCTGTGATATTACTCTTGCTTTTTATTTTGAAATTTTATTCAAACAAAAAATAGAAGATTTACTGTTATGCAGACTACTGCAATACTGTAATAATTGTAAAAATTACATCAACCCGTTCATGACTGCGTATTAGAATGGCTATTTGGACATTTATTGGACAATGACATCATTTGTTCACTTTTGAACATCGGCAAAAATCAAACATTTCCTGTACTTTGTGCTCCATTTCCAGGTTCTTTTTATAGTAAAAGTAATCAAAATCACCTCCATTTCTATAATATAGTTTCCATTCTATCAAATGAAACCAAGAAAACGAGAATACAACCACAAATACTATACGAAAATAGACCACAAAGTCGGCATTTTAATTAAAAAAAACGGTCGGAGTTTTTTTTTTCTCATTATGCACTGCGTGCTCCAGGATTTTTTTTATGTGGTGCACACTGACCACACAGACCCATTCTCTCACATGTGGGCCTACTAGCTTTCTCCTGCCTGATTTGAAGCCGCTAGAATTTATGAGTATATATACGTCAAACACGGTACCTCGCAAACGTATATATACGGCCGCGACAGTCAAAGGGTTAAAATCACAGTGCGTCTGTGTAGAAAGTAGACAAGATAACATAAAAAACAGAATAAAAATGAAACCTATGGAAATAAAACAATTATGCAAAGGGTTTTTGACTGAACATCACCTGACTAGTTGCACAGAGGTGCTGGGCACCTCTCCATGTGATAGCGGTCAGTCTTGCATCACTAATATGCAATTGTGTGAGAACTGTTCAAAACAATTAGATGCCAAAAAACCAACGATGGTTTATTGGAAAGCTTTTTACCTTCTTACCTGGACCAACAACGTTGTCATTGATACCAGATGCTTTTAGACAAAACTGGAGAATAGCTTGCATGCTATAACATGCAACTTTCAAGATTATGAGGCTTCCAGAACATTCGGACATCAAGCAAAAAGACAGGAATACGACTATCACATTCAGAGATACAGGAACCACACAGGTATTAAATAGTCTGAGAGACAACAGTCGGTCTTGTGAAAGTAAGCTGATTGTTTTAGCAACTGAAAATTTAAATCCATAAAAGGTGGTCCACTGGGAAGCAGAATCAATAATATTCTAGAGAGGCTGCTAGAGGTGACACTCAGTACTTACACATAAGAACATAAGGAAGAACACAGCAGCAGGCCTACTGGCCCATGTGAGACAGGTCCAAGTCTCCTACCAGCTTAAGCTAATGACCCAACTTAGTCAGGTCAGGTCACATTTACTGAAGGAAGGAGTACGGCATCAGACCTAGTAGCAAAAGCTAGTCAGGTACAACTCAAACCCACTCATGTATTTATCTAACCTATTTTTAAAACTACACAACGTTTTAGCTTCCATAACGGTACTCGGAAGTTTGTTCCACTCATCCACAACTATTACCTATATCCTTCATGAATCAGAATTTTTCTAACTTAAAACCATTGCTGCGAGTCCTGTCTTGGCTAGATACATTTTTAGCATGCTATTTACATCCCCTTTATATATTCCTGATTTCCATTTATACACCTCAGTCATATTCCCCCTAATTCTATGCCTTTCTAGAGTGCAAATTCAGGACCGTCAATCTGTTCTCATAGGGAAGATTTCTGATACATGGGATCAACTTTGTCATCCTCCTTTGCACGTTCTCCAGTGCATTTATATCCATTCTGTAATACGGTGACCAAAACTGCGCAGCATAATCTAAATGAGGCCTAACCAAGGATATATAGAGTTGAAGAACATCCTGAGGACATCTATTATTTATGCTTCTTGATATGAAGCCAAGGATTCTGTTAGCTTTATTGCGAACACTTATGCACTGTTGTCTTGGTTTTAGATTACTGCTAACCAGAACTCCCAAATCCTTTTCGCAATCAGTTATATTAAGATCTACATTATTTAGTTTATATGTGGCATGGTTATTTTCGTGTCCAATGTTTAGTACTTTGCATTTGTCTGTGTTAAACTGCATCCGCCACTTCTCCGACCACTGCATCAGTCTACTCAAATCTTCCTGGAGCTCTACTGTCCTCGTCAGAATGAATTCAATAGCCTGTTTTGGTGTCATCAGCAAACTTGCTTATGTTGCTATTTATTCCCTCATCTATGTCGTGTATGTAGATTGTGAACAACAAGGGGCCCTAACACTGACCCTTGTGGAACACCGCTCATGATGCTTCCCCACTCTGATTTCTCCCCATTTATGCAAACTCTCTGCTGCGTATTTGTCAACCATGCCTCAATCCAGGAAAAAGAAATTCTCCTATTCCGTGTGCCTTAATTTTCCTCAACAGTCTCTGATGTGGGACCCTGTTAAAAGCCTTACTGAAGTCCATATACACAATATATTCATTACCATGATCTACCTCAAATACCTTAGTGAAAAAAAGTTAATAAATTCGTAAGGCAGGAACGCCCCTTTGTAAAACCATGCTGAGATTCATTGATTAATTTGTGCTTTTCAAGATGGCTACAAATTGCCTCGGCAATTATTGATTCCATATATTTTCCCACTATGGAGGTAAGGCTTATTGGTCTATAGTTCAAAGTTAAGGACCTGTCACCTGCTTTGAAAATGGGTATCACATTTGCCGTTTTCCACTTATCAGGCACTATGCCAGTTTGTAGTGATATGTTGAAAAGGTTAGCCAAAGGTTTGCTAAGCTCCTCTTTACATTTCTTGCCTATATTTCATCAGGGCCAAGGGATTTGTTAGGTTTTAATTTATCAGTTTGTCTAAGGATGTGTCATATGTGACCCTAATCGTTCATAGTTCATTGTCCTGTTCTACATAATTTATTTCTGGAATATTGCTAGTATCTTCCTGTGTAAAAACTGAGAGGATTATGTGTTAAAAATGCTTCGCATTTCCTTATCACTCTCGGTGAGCTGACCCGAGTAACTTTTGTCCCTAATCTTACTTCCGTATACCTGAAAGAAGCCATTTAGATTAGTCTTCGATTCTTTTGTACTTTAACCTTAATCTCTTTGCTTTTCTTTTCTTTTTTCTCTCTTTAACTGAATATACTGATTTCTTAACTGCCCCTCTCGTCTTATGATTCGCCTAAATATGCCTCTCTTTTGACAATGAGATGTTAATTTATTATTTATCTATTTAGGATCATTTTTGTTTGATCTGACTTCCCTGTTCAGAACATAAGTTGTCTGAGCAGCTAGAACTATGCTCTGGAAAACGTCATATCGACAACCATCACCACTTATCTAACTCAGTCAGGCCATTCCAGTTCAGCCCACCCAGGTAATTTCTCAATCCTATGAAATCAACCAAGCGGAAGTCAAGAACAGAAACTTGATAGCCATTATTATGGTAATTCCATGATATATTAAAACCGAGTGATATGTGATCACTTTCCGCAAGTCCAAATTAACCTCGAGATTATTAATTAGTGATTCCCTGCTGGCAAGAACCAAGTCAAGCAGGTTATTTCCTCTAGTTAGTTTTGTCACAAACTGTTTTAAAAACCAATCCTGAATCGTATCAAGTCAGTCACTCGACTAAACTTCCTGTCAAAATGCTCCAGTCAGTTTGTCTAAAGTTAAAATCTTCCATTAGCACATTTTCGTATGTAGATGACTTACGAATTTCGTCCCATAGTATAATAAAATCGTCAACACAAAGATATGACTAAACACTGGAGAGGAGGACAGAGGTAATATCATTAGAAGCATGAAGTGTTAAGAATACAGCCCTAGGGACGCCTTCAGTCTGGCTGAAGCCAAGGGAAAGAGCTCTTGTCAATGATTAAGTCCCTCACCAGCACCGAGGAACTTTTCTCGAGGGGTAAACTACCATATGTCAGCTTTCCGGGGATACCTAGCTAGTAAAAACCTTTATGTAGCAACCCTAGTTTCATTAACCACTGGGTTAGTTTCAACTGGACCTCTTGAAGCTGCAAAACTACCTAAAAAGGCAGCATCTTGGCAAGTCCCGGGTCTGTACATTTTCCTTCCCTCCTGCGGAGGGGCAGGATATTTCACGCGATCACATCCCCTGCACCCACCATATGTCACGCCTAGTCAGCAGGAACAAAGAGAAAATAACTCTCCAAAGTTTGCTTGCCTGAGGAAGGGGGGGGATAGAGGCAACAGGATGCGAGGGGATCGACCATGGCTTTGGCGCCCGTGCCGGACCTATCACTTTCATTACGCCTTTGGGTTAAATAAGCCCACTTTATATGTTTGACTTCTTGGTCCATGTTTCAGGAGTCATTATAATCATATAATAATCATAATCCTCCTTGCTGGTGAAAGGAGAAAACTTAAGACTGCCAAAATGTCTGAGCCTTCAATGTCCCTCTCAACGGGTCACGGCTCCCTACAGTGGGGAAGATCGCCGGCCGATGCCTGCGTGAGTACAGGCACACCCAAGCAATCATGGGTGGCTGCTTCCCACTGAACTGGTGGACAGACTTGTACTCAGCCAAAGCCGGCCACCTGGAACCCTTTATTCAACATCAAAGGTTCTGTGGAAAATTGCATTTACTTGGATGTATAATTATATACATAACAGTAAATGAACAATGATAACTATTATTTATCAGTTAGACAAGTAGGAATTTGGGACACTTAGGTCGCAAAAAATGTCCCCCTTCGATACCTACCACTGTCATATCCACAAGTTGCTCTGGACCTATTAATTAAATGAAATATACATACACCAGGAATACTGGTAAATATATAAATTTGTGGACTATATTAAAAAATTATTATATATAAATTCACATATACATAACAGAAGGAAAATATATCTTAATATCACTCACCAATTTGACTGGATATTAAGCTGTATCATACTCAGAAAAACCTCACTAACTAAATTTATGAAAACACTGGCCAGAATTATACACAAATCTAGAGAGCTTATCTGAGGTTCCTGGAGCTGTCTTGTCCAGTCGTCTGATATCTCAAGTTATGCAGGAATGCATATCCACCAATTTCGCCTCCTATTTGAGAGTTGTCAGCACAATTTTAACCTCTAGAGCATGAAAAATTCTTCCCCATTCACCGTTTCTAATACAAATTCAAAACCAACATGGCGAGACTCCTCTGTGCAGATGCAGGCTTTCCGTTTTCTATGTCATCAATATTATTAAATACAGTATGGCCATCTATTTACATATAAATACTGAATTTCTGGAAATTTATAAATTATTTTCCACAGGTTCTGTCAGTTTGGCTCTTATGGTTTTACGTACTCTTGAACTCTTTCTTCACATAGGAAGCACGTCTGTCTCACGCTCAGCAAGTCTTGCATTGAATGACCCACATGGGTTTAGCACTTCATATGAATTATTTATTTGAAACTGTAAATCAGCATCAGTAGATCTGGGAAACAAAACTAACCCAGTGTTTGACTATGGAAGTTCCATCTCCTGAACATCTATGTTTTCAATCATCCTCAAGAGGTCGAAGAGAGAATTATCCTGGTAAAACACTACCTGAAAACTTAAGAACCGCAGACACATTCATCTCTTTCAAAACTACAGTTAGAAAACATCTTATCTCCCTGATACACCCCGTCAACTAACTACATAAAAACCACCTGGTGGTTCACACTTACACTCACCTATTGACTATAAACACAGAAATACGAATTTTAATCTTAAAATAATGAATCCTAACTAGTCATAAGCTTGCCTACGATACTCCAATATAGACACTATGTATTGTGCCAAAACAAAAGCATTCACATTGCTAAACTCACAAATTATGATGTAGTCACTTAGCCTTAATACCATAATCTGTAATAATTTAAAGTTAAGAATTAATCTAAGTCTGCCCAAAATGCCTAGCCATGCTAGGTGTCCTAGTGGCCCCCCTCTGTAATAAGTATTTTATAACATGTAAACCACACAATATCCAAAATCTGTAAACCCCACACTGTAATCCTTATAGAGAATAAACTTGATTTTTTTGGTCTATCTCCTGGACCTCTCAAGGACCCGAGGGACGGGCCAGTAGTAGTTAAGAAGGACATGAAGATGTTCTCTGAACTATAATTACATGATGTTGCAGTACTTGGTTCACATCTTCACAACCTTCTTTACTACCGGCCCGTCCCTCGGGTGACCTAGTTCCACTGTGTAATCCCTCCTACCAGTGACCAAACCTTCGTCTGCTACACGTCCCTCACCTGACAACATTATATAAGCACAAGCCTTTATTTCTGTGTTTCAGACTTCACGACTACGGTGCCCTTCAACTCCAAGGTTGAGGGACCGATTACCTCATCTTTTGTATATAGTTCTGTCTTCAAATATGTCCTTGAATTTGTATTGATAAAGCCACTGGATACCTGGGGTATACCTGGAGAAGGTTTCAGGGTTCAATGCCCCATGGCCCAGGTTGTTACTGCTGGTCGCATCCAAACTGACATACGAACCACAGCCCGACTGATCAGGAACTGACTTCAGGTGCCTGTCCAGCGCCTTCTTTAAGACAGCCAGGGGTCTATTGGTAATCCCTCTTATGTATGTTGAGAGGCACTTGAACAGTCTTGGGCCCCTGATACCTAATGAGTTGTTCTTAGCCTACTCGTGGCGTCCCTACTTTTCATTGGGGGGATGTTACATCTGCCCAGTCTTTTGCTTTCGTAGGGAGTGATTTTCGTGTGCAAATCTGGGACTAGTCCTAGGATTTTCCAAGTCTATAATAAAAATACCCAAATGTTGCATGTGTGTCTAATTCTTCATCTTGTCGGTATTGTGTACCATATACGTATGTACTACTAGTAGTACTTAAAAGTCAATGGTTGTGGTTAGTAGCTCTGGTTATTAGTAGTAGTAGCTAATATTATAGTAGAAGTTAATGGTAGAAGTTAGTGGTGGTAGTAGTTACCAGTAGTAGTAGTACTTCGCACTAAGTAGTAGTGGATGGCATTTGGGGAGCACTGTCACCGCACCAGGAGAGACATGATCATGACTTACGAAATACTCAGACAAAATTGATTTAATATTGGCAGGCTGGTTGAGAAGAGGAAGCCAAGAAACATCAAGAGCAGCAAAACACAGGTAAATACACAGATGAGAGGAAATAAATATTCAGACCCGCAGTGGTGTTAGCAACCTACACACTGCTTCAGGACAGATACACTCGGGTCCTGGAAGCCTAAATTAGCAAACCCGTCAGTCAGGCTCAAGTGACGGGGCAAATGGACTTCAGCAATCAATTAAGTATTCCTGGAGATGGCTTTGGGGGTGAATGCCTCAGTGGCCCAGTCTGTCACCAGGTCTCATAATAGATCAGGGTCTGATCAACCAGGCTGTTACTGTTGGTTACATGTAAACCGACGTACGAACCTAAGTACATACATTGCACCGAGTAAGAGTGCACGCGCTACTGCAGTTTTCTACGATGTGATTCACGATTCATTAATGCTAATCATTTGAAATCAGTTGATGTATACTGCGTGCCTTTAAAAGTCAGTTATATTAAAAAACTTACAAAGTGAAGAATCTTGTGAGGTGTCAGTTGTGGACAAGCGTCTGGTAGTCTACATCCACAGGATACAGGAATAACTTGGTCTTCAGGCTGTAGCTCTTCATTCACTTCCGACTGGGCAACTTTCCTGGATGGTTTTTAGGTAATATAATTTCTTACTTCCAACATTCCCTTATCTTAAACCCGTTTTATAAAAATAGATCTGAAGCGAATAAGGTAATGAAATTTAAAATGTATGATTATCAATCTTATCAGTTCTTAATTAAATATACAGATATAAAGACAGAGTTAAGTATGAAGTCGGGAGAAACTTAAGTAAGGCTGGAAGGATTATAATGACTAAATATAAAAAAATATACAACTGCAACTCCAAATAACAAAACCCAATTACAGTCTTTACTAACACTAATAGGAGATGCTCAGTACAGGAGAGGAACCACAGAAGCCAATATGTGTACACAAACGGGGCAAACTCTTCCGCACACCCAATTACAGTTGGAGTCCCACAGAGAAGTGTCCTAGGCCCTCTTCTCTTTCTCATATACATAAATGACCTACCAAATGCATCACAACTACTCAAACCCACACTATTTGCAGATGACACTACATACGTCTTCTCTCACCCGAGCCCAGTCACGCTAACTAATACTGTAAATACCGAATTACAGAAAATACCTACCTGGATGAGTACTAACAAACTTAATCTAAACATTGACAAAACCTACTTCATTCAGTTTGGTAACAGAGCTACAGACGTCCCTCTTAACATAATGATAAACGGATCACCTATCACAAAACTCACAGAAGGAAAATTCTTAGGAATCCACATTGATAATAGACTCAAATTTCAAACACACATACAACAAATTTCCCCCCCAAATTTCCAAGACCGTAGGCATACTATCGAAGATACGGTACTATGTTCCACAGTCAGCCCTCCTGGCCCTATATCACTCACTTATTTGCCCCTAACTCACCTATGGAATTTGTGCATGGGGCTCAACAACAATAAACCATCTCAGACCATTAATTACCCAACAAAAGGCTGCAGTCAGAATGATAAATTCCCACTACAGGCAGCACACTCCACCAATATTCAAAACTCTAAACCTACTCACCATTCAAAACATCCATACTTATTACTGCACCTACTACATTCATAGAACACTTAACTCTGATATAACCCTCCCCTCAAACGCCTCCTTACCAACCTCAACAGAACACACGACCATAATACAAGGCACAGATCACTCTTTGATGTTCCTCGTGTCCATCTCACACTATGCAAAAACTCAATGCACATAAAAGGCCCTAAAATCTGGAATTCATTACCTGTGAATATAAAAGAAACACTGTTTATAAATTCAAGTCTCTTCTCAAATATCACTTACTCACCCACAACTAAATAAATACTGAATAATTGTATCTCATAAATTGTATCTCGTAAATGTTTCTCATTATTGTATCTCATAAATGTCTAACCTGTGACCCAATGAAACTATTTTTTAATCACATTACCTAACAGAATACTCCATTCTACTGAATGCTCAGCAACACAGTAAATGACCGTATGACCTGTCTTTGTAATACTCATTTGTGCTAAATTGTTATCTGATATATCATTGCTTAGTTAATCTTAAGTTAATTTTAAGCCTGCCCATAATGCTCTGCATACAAGGGGCTTTGGCATGTTGCACTGTAGTAACTTTGTACCTCACTATCATGTTCAAATTAATAAATAAATAAATAAATAAATAAAGATGACAAGTGGAGTGACTTGTGTCAATGTTCCTCATTCTCAAGTCAGTGAAGTTTAGTTGAAACTTTTTGTACATCTTCGAAATACTAGTTTTCTTGAGAGCAGCCTGAACCAGATTATCATTTTAGCGTGTATCTGAAGGTCAGTGCTAGATGGCATCTACAGGTGTTACCTGGAGTTTACCTGGAGGGGGTTTCGGGGATCAACGCCCCCGCGGCCCGGTGTACTCCTACTCCATTTACAATTTCGCCATACCTGTGTCTGACTTTGACACCAACATGTCACGACTGACACTCGTGGAGTAGACAACATTTATAGATGATGGAGAATCACGTGTAAATAAATTATAAGCTTTAGATACACAGATATTTAAATACAAGCAGTATAGCAAACTGTTCAGTTTGGAAGTAGAAGTCCATTTAGTTGCGTGCTCTAATTTTTATATGGATGGATTTGCACCACGTTTAGATTTCTATTGGTACATGTGCAATACATCCTGTCTCACTGCTTCTTGCTGCATTTTAACCCTCCAAGCTTGCTGACAACAGAAAATAGGTGTGTAGATAGTCAACCACTGATCTTTTATAATAAAATAATTTTCATAATTTTCACATTTGATCCATACCAAGGATGAAACCCTGCTACAGAGATAATTACTTTCAGCCTTGTTTTATATCTGCGACAAAGTGTGGCTGCAAGTCCAGGGGACCTTATGTCTCAACATGCATAACATCGGTCCACATGTTCGAGCCGAGACCCAGCATGCAACTGGATTCTATCGAGTTCGCCTCCCTGCCGGGAAACACCTATTAAGTATCTTCGATTTCTCAACGGAGATTATCAACTCCAGGTCCTGACACGAACTAGTAGATAGTTAAGGATGCACTGGCTGTTGGAGAATGTTGGTGTGCGTATCATTGTATCACAATGTTAATCATGTAAAGATTAGGTTGCCTAGGCATTGCATCTAGCAACGTATTAATATGAATAATAGCAAATAAAGTGGGACTGATGACACCTTACTATTGGGTCATTAGTTATACTGTGCTCCTGGAACAACATACATGACTTTGTTAAACATGTAGACTTTAACACAGAGAGAAGCCATCCACCGACATCTATTTTGGCGCGTCCTGTAGCGATTACATATCTGTTAGCTATATGAGGTCTCTCAGCCATTCGAGGTTAGAAAATAGTGCAGATGACAGTGTGCAGGTTGAGAAAAGTGGACGCACCTCTAGCCACGAATGAACCAAGCAAACAAGGGAGAGATCGTTGGATTTTATGCACAAAACTGCTTGGAATCACCCTCCTAAATGTTTTACACAGATAGCAAGAAGAACGAAGTGTATTTTGATAACAGGGTTCTGGAATGGTAATTTTTAGACTTCTTATATGATTTAGGGAGTTCCCCGGATGCATAGCTGGTATTGTAAAATTTAAGTAAAGAAATAGCTGATATTTAACAGTATGTTATGATACTAATCTCCCCAAGCGAAATGGATATGCCTTTAACTAGTGCAGCGTCGAATTTAAACCAAAGGCAATTTTCGAGTTCAGTGTTTTGGACTTAAGGCTTGGCCAGAATATCCTGCACAGTCGCACCCGAGGGGTGCAGGCCAGAACAGGTTGTGATGTAGGCCTGCAGTTCTACTCCCGCTTTATGGTCGGCAAGAATAGTTAAATGAATGTAAAGTGTAAGGATCAGAGATTGGGACATTACCACCAGCAGTTCATGACTAGAGGTATCTATTGTTACATGTACCTAGTGAGGAACATTACATTTCCAAGGTTAGAGTACAAATATAAGCAGTGGCAGGAACGCTGTCATATATTCATTTAATGATGGTCACTATCACTACTTTCAAATATGTTATTAGTTCCTATATGAATAGGACAGTGACTCGCTAAAATTCTGACTTTCATTGTTTGCAAAATTTGTACTGTTTGGCTACGTGGGTTCATGTTAGAGAAGAGGAATGGGATTTCAGGGGCCTTTAAAATTATCAACACTTTCTTCACTCTGATACGAATTTTAGCTAGTAGCGAGGAGCTAGATCCGAGTATCAACGGCTGTGGGTGTTGTCGGCCAAACTTGATGTGTGCGGCCTCTTACACTCTGGTATTTTATAAATATTTTAAGGAGAGAAAATGAAGAAAAAGAACAGAGTGCAAAGAGGAATAAGGTCGAATTGTAAAGGAAAGAGTAAAAAAAAAAGTCGGTAATATTTATAAAATGGGACAAGGTTGGAAGCAGTAGAATATTCCGTCAATGTACTCACGTAATATTGTGTGTTTGGTCGACTAGGAGAGCCGAGGACACCACACCACCACCACCACCCACACTACTAAAGCAACCTCACACGTCATCTCTGAGAAGAAAACAACAACAATAATAAAGGAAACAATACTCAAGGTAAAATCTCAACACTAACGAATAGGTAACGTCGTAAACTATTGTGGTAATGTTTATCGTGTCTACTGACACAGGTCTCTCAAGTGACCGTAACCAGTTAAGCAATTACTGGCTTACCGACTCAGGTTTTACTTTCCATTATCACAAACAAGTAGTGTTCCATGATGGTGACACTCGTGTATTCAAATCTGTATCGTCACCATCGCCAGAAGATGCATATCAACTAGCCTGAACTGAGTTAGTTTAATATGTTTATTATGCACCCCATACCCATCCTGTGGGCGGTAGTCAAAAGATTACAGAGGTACATAATTGGTCCAGGGACTGCGCTCCAAAGTTTTGATAGCTGAGCAAGTTACAGAGGTAATGAACTCACAATTTACAAAGGTAATGAACTCACAATTTACAAAGGTAATGAACTCCAGGTAGGTCTGGTCACAATCATGACAAGTTACAAAGGTATTTACAGATTACAGAGGTACATAATGGGTCCAGGGACTGGGCCCCCAAAGTTTTGATAGCTGAACTAGGTACAAAGGTAATGAGCTCACAAGTTACAAAGGTAATGAATTCTGTAAGAATGGTTACTTACGTTTATACATGGCTACAATCATGAACAAATTATAGTGTAATGAGCAATTCACACTTCCACACCCGGTCACAACTGTAATGAGTTATTGGTGCAAATATTGATTGTTGAGTCACACACACACACACACACACACACACACACACACACACAGGAGCTAGGACTCGACCCCTGCAACCACAAATAGGTGAGTACACACACACACACAGAACTGAGGGATGTTAACCTTTCACCATGATGGGGAGGCGATTGATTTTGAACTTAATCGCCACTGTAAATTAAAGATTTTTATATGGTACAAGATTAATTGAATCTAAACGTAATTAGTAGGTCAGCTGAAAATAGAATAGTTCATAGTATATTTAGTTCCAGGCTAACAACCTTAGAATCTAACTAATTATTGGGTTACTTGACTAGCACCATAACTACTCTGCCATTCCCATCACCTTCAGAAATTTGTTTACAACCCAATCTTCGCCCTGATCCAAAATCTGTTTCAAGCTAGATACTTTATTCGTAACGCTTTTGCCTTAAACTATATTACCCGACTGAAACTGACTAGTTACGACAACTTTGCCAGTTGTCGACCCAGCCTTGGCTCCCTATCGTGGGAGTGTCAGACGTATGTCTGCCATGGGAGGAGGTACAAGTACCTCCTCATCTTCTGGGGCAAATTGTCCCCAGGCCTAGCCCCATTCCCTACCCCCACAGGGAACATAGGGAGAAGCTAGGCACCTTGGACTGCCACAAAAGCCCGCCCCACTGGGCTCGAAGGGTGTGGCAGCTACATAGCAGCAGATGATGTCAGGAGGTGCTAAGGCAGCAAGAACTACAGGATCCTTTTGGAGCTACACCCCAGCTTTGGGCCACAGCCCGAGCACTGGGGAAGCTCAGGGATGCCTCTTGCTGTGTGTGCTGACTGCTGCTGCTCCCCGTTCTGTCATCTCCCTTCCTCTGGCGCTGTGACCTGCCCTCACCTCTCCTCCTCTACTGCAGTGACCCAACTATAATATTGATCATCCATACTATGTACACTGATGGTTCCCACCACCAGTCTACAGGTACATCTGCTGTATCACTGTCGTTGTGGAACAGTAATTGAGCCTTCCTAGACAAAGATGCCAAGTATTCCTGGTACGAAGTGCACAGTGCACTTTTTCGAAAAGAGGTTGGCAGTAGACTTATGAACGTGCGTTTTTAAGAGTTATGTTTGATCAGTTTTTAGTAGTAGCGACAATACAATCAGACAGAGGTATCCTTTATGTCCCATAATCTCTGCTCTACCCACTGCAATGCTTACAAAGGATATAGTATAGTATGGCATATGTTTCACATGCAGTTATATGTGAACAATGATTATTTGAGGTCAGTAAGAGGAAATATTCACTAGTCATAACATGGCTAATAATCCAATTTCAGTGTGAGACAACACACTTACACTTATTAAGACTGAATTAACGTATCCTCGGTAATGTCTTCAATACTAGTGTATCGTGGCTCGCTTGGCAACGCACTCGCCTCACAAAGTGTGTCCACAGTTCAGTCCCCAACCTGAGAGAAAACATTGGGCATGTATCCTTATTAATGCCAGCAAATAACCCCCGCCCCCCCAAATTCCATCAATATAACGACATTTATCTTTGCAAACATACAGGGTCTAAAGCCATCAACAAACAAAATTCCTTACATCAAGGAACTGCTTACGGAGTCAAATGCTGTGTCTGCAGCATTCACAAAGACCCACATACGAAATATGGTTCCCAGGTTAAAACCTATTCAGATGCGACAGACTAAACAGGCAACAAGTGGGGGTTCACTTGTACATCACAGTCACTCATTTGCTCAGAACTACTAAACACCTCAAATGATGTAGTTGAAGTTTTGGCAGTAACGACTGAAAACCAAAACCATGTCATTGTGGTACTATACAAGCCTCCGGATGCAACTTCCCAGCAATTCCAAGAATAGCTTTTGAAAATTGACCAGAAAATCTCCCAACTCCTGCCCCAAACATCTTGCTACTGGGAGATTTCAACTTGGGACACCTAAAATGGAGGAAGGTAGCAAATAATGTTTTAGCAGAGATCACCCCAGGAGGCAGCTCAGATGAAAATTCACACACACACACACACACACACACACACACACAAGGGACACTACCAGAGAGAGAGAGAGAGAGAGAGGGGAGGATGAACCAGCAAGACTGGACCTTGTGTTCACCCTGAGTAGTTCAGACATTGATGACATCACATACGAAAGGCCCCTCGGAGCTCGTGACCACGTAGTCCTGAGTTTTATTACATGGCAGAGTTACAAGTGGAGAGGGTAACAGGAGTCAAATTGGCAAAGCCAAACTGTAAAAGGGGGGACTACACAGGCATGAGGAACATCCTGCGGGAGGTGCAGTGGGACAGAAAAACGGTAGGAAAGTCAGTAAATGAAATGATGGAATACGTAACAATAAAATGCAAGGTAGCAGAGGGAATATTTGTTCCCAAGGGCAACAGAAACAATGGGAAGACCAAAGCGAGTCCTTGGTTTACCCGAAGGTGCAGGGAGGCAAAAACTAAGTGCATTAGAGAATGGAAGAGGTACAGAAGGCAAAGGACCCAGGAAAACAAGATCAGTCGAAGAGCCAGAAACGAATATGCACAGATAAGGAGGGAGGCCCAGCGATAGTACGAAAATGACATAGTATCGAAAGTCAAGTCTGACCCGAAACTGCTGTTTAGCCGCATTAGGAGAAAGACAACAGTCAAAGACCAGGTGATCAGGCTGAGGAAAGAAGGTGGGGAACTCACAAGAAACGATCAAGAGGTATGCGAGGAGCTTAACACGAGATTTAAGGAAGTATTCACAGTGGAGACAGGAAGGGCTCTGGGAAGACAGCGACAGAGGGGGACACCAACAGGGAATACACCAAGTGCTGGATGCTATGCACACAACTGAGGAGGTGAAGAAGCTGCTAAATGACCTTGATACCTCAAAGGCAATGGGACCGGACATCTCCCCGTGGGCCCTCAGGGAGGGAGCAGATATACTGTGTGCCATGAACCACAATCTTCAACACATCCCTTGAAACTGGGCAACTACCTAAGGTATGGAAGACTGCAAATGTAGTTCCCATTTTTAAAAAAGGAGACAGAAAAGAGGTGCTAAATTACAGACCAGTGTCACTGACGTGTATAGTATGCAAAGTCATGGAGAAGAATATCAGGAGGAGAGTGGTGAAGCACCAGGAATGGAACAAGATTATAAACGACAACCAGCACGGATTCATGGAAGGCAAATCCTGTGTCACAAACCTTCTGGAGTTTTATGACAAAGTTACAGAAGTAAGACACGAGAGAGAGGGGTGGGGTGACTGCATATACTTGGACTGCAAGAAGGCATTCGACACAGTTCCTCACAAGAGATTAGTGAAGAAACTATAGGATCAGGTGCGTATAACAGGAAGGGCACTGCAATGGATCAGAGAATACCTGACAGGGAGGCAACAACGAGTCATGGTATGGGATGAGGTGTCACAGTGGGCACCTGTTACGAGCGGGGTCCCACAGGGGTCGGTCCTAGGACCAGTGCTATTTTTGGTATATGTGAATGACATGATGGAAGGGATAGACACAGAGGTGTCCCTGTTCGCAGATGATGTCAAGTTAATGAGGAAAATTAAATCAGATGAGGATCAGGCAGGACTTCAAAGAGACCTGGACAGGTTGGACACGTGGTCCAGTAACTGGCTTCCCGAATTCAGCCCTGCCAAATGCAAAGTCATGAAGATCGGAGAAGGGCAAAGAAGACCGCAGACAGAGTATAGGCTAGGTGGCCAAAGACTGCAAACCTCACTCAAGGAGAAAGATCTTGGGGTGACGATAACACCGAGCTTGTCTCCGGAGGCACACATCAACCAGATAACTGCTGCAGCATATGGGCACCTGGCAAACCTGAGAATAGCGTTCCGATACCTTAGTAAGGAATCGTTCAAGACACTGTACACTGTGTACATCAGGCCCATACTGGAGTATGTAGCACCAGTTTGGAACCCACACCTGTCAAGCACGTCAATAAATTAGAGAAAGTGCAAAGGTTTGCAACAAGGCTAATTCTGGATCTCAGGGGTATGTCCTACAAAGAAAGGTTGAAGGAAATCGGACTGACGACGCTGGAGGACGGGAGGTCAGGGGAGATATGACAACGACATACAAAATACTGCGTGGAATAAATAAGGTGGACAGAGACAGATTATTACAGAGAGGACACAGAAACAAGGGGTCACAATTGGAAGCTGAAGACCAGACGAGTCACAGGTATGTTAGGAAGTATTTCTTGATTGGAAGTATTTCTTTTTGACTGGAATTTCTTGACTGGGAATTTAGAATCATACGACTTCTTAGAAGTA